CTCTGCTTTTGTGCCATTCAGTGGCACCGCTGGCTTGCAGGTTGTGTGCACTAAGGGGCTGTCAGGGCTACCAGCCCCTGGGGTCCTCCTGTCCCGCAGTGTGGCCATGGTGCTCCCTCAGCCGCCACGGAGCTCTGCCAGGGTTGTGGCCCAGTGGTGCTTGCCATCCTCGCACAGTTTTGCAGGGTGGCCTGAGGTCCAGATGTCCTTTGCCACCTCACCCTGTGCTTCTGGCCCACACTGACCCCAGAGAAAAGGACTGACAGATCCTGCAAGCCCTGTGCTCCCCGGTGACTGCACAGGGAAGGGGATGGCTATGCTGTGGGGCTGAGAGCTGCGGGGCTGAGAGCTGTGATCTGAACAATGTGGGGATGAGAGCCGTGGGGCTGAGTGCTATGGGACTGAGAACTGCGGGGCTGTGTGCTGCGGGGCTGAGAGCTGTGGGACTGAGTGCTATGGGGCTGAGAACTGCAGGGCTGAGAGCTGCGGGGCTCAGAGCTGTGGGGCTGAGAACTGTGAGACAGAGCTGCAGGACTGAGAACTGCGGGGCTGAGAACTGCAGGGCTGAGTGCTGCAGGGCTGAAAGCTGTGGGGCTGAGAACTGCAGGATTGAGAACTGCAGGACTGAGAACTGTGATCTGAACAATGTGGGGCTGAGAGCTGTGGGGCTGAGAGCTGCGGGGCTGAGATCTGTATGGCTGAGAGCTGTGGACTGAGTGCTATGAGACTGAGAACTGCGGGTCTGAGTGCTGCGGGGCTGAGAGCTGTGGGGCTGAGAGCTGTGGGGCTGAGAACTGCAGGACTGAGAGCTGCGGGGCTGAGAGCTGTGGGGCTGAGTGCTATGGGGTTGAGAGCTGCAAGGCTGAGAGCTGTGGGGCTGAGTGCTATGGGGCTGAGAACTGCGGGGCTGAGTGCTATGGGGCTGAGAGCTGTGAGACTGAGTGCTATGGGGTTGAGAACTGCAAGGCTGAGAGCTGTGGGGCTGAGAGCTGTGGACTGAGTGCTATGGGGCTGAGAACTGTGGGACTGAGAAATGCAGGACTGAGAACTGGGGGGCTGAGCTGAGAGGCTGAGAGTTGCGTGGCTGAGAGCTGTGGGGCCGAGTGATGTGGGGCTGAGAGCTGCGGGGCTGAGAGCTGCGGGGCTGAGAGCTGTGGGGCTGAGTGCTGCAGGTTCAAGTGCTGCGGGGCTGAGGCTCTGGAGCAAGTGCTGCAAGGCTGAGTGTTTGCAGGGCTGAGCACTGCGCCGTTGAGCTTTGAGGGAGTGAGTGCTGAGGGGCTGAGCGTAGCAGGGCTGTGTCGTGGGCTCAACCTCGGGGGGGTCTGAGAGATGTGAGATCCAAGTGCTGCGGGGCTGAGTGCTGTGGGGTGAATGTCGTGGGGCGAAGCGCTGTGGGCTGAGTGCTGTGAGGTCGAGCACTGTGGGGCTGAGCGCTGTGGGGCTGAACGCTGTCGGGCTGAGGGCTGTGGAGCTGAGAACTGTAGGGCTGAGCGTCGTGGGGCTGAGTGCTGTGGGGCCGAGTGCCGTCAGGGTGCAGGGCCGTGATCACCCCCTGCAGCACAGCACCCTTCCTGAGCCACCTCAGCTGTAACTGCAGCATCCCTTTTTTTTCCATTATCTCCGTTACTGCCCGTAATGGGGCTGAGAAGCTGTAATGAAACCGCCCTTCTCCTCCGCTGGGCACGGGGCACTCTGCACACTCTGGAGGTTGTGGCAATTAACATTTCTCATTAGGGAAAGGAGAAGGATGCACAAGCGCCCTTATTGTGTCCCAGGGACGATTCAATGCCGGCCGGGAGGCCTTTCCTTTCACTATTTCCCACTCGTTGTGGCCAGACAAAGGCTGGCTTCTAATTATATTTTCACAATCTGTGCATATCTTTAAGAGCCCTGTCAGGAGCAAGCATGTCAGCTCCGCTCAGCTTCACTTCAGGGAGCTCTTTCACCTCAGACAGCAGTTCCTAAGCATCCCTCCGCAGCCTCCTTCACAGCAGAGTCCCGTCGTCCCCCCCCGACCCCCCCATGCCCCTTGGTGTCCACAGAGCGGGTGCAGCTAATCACTGGGATCCCTCTGTTTCGGAAGCTCTTGCTCATGTGCATCACCTGGATGGAATAGCTCCTGCAGTACTTGTTGCTTGCGGTCAGCAAGCAGCACCCCTTGGTCTGGGGGTGCTCCCCGGGTCTGGGGGTGCTCCCTGGGGTCCAGGGATGCTCGCCCACCTTTTGACACCATCCCCCTGCCCGCCTGCATCCCGCTGCCTCCCGCATCCCTCACGGCCGCCAGGAGGACCCGCGGAGTTCTGCTCGGCACGGCGGAGCATTGCGGACTCCCGTTCGCTTCTCTTCAAGCTCTTTATCCAAAACCTGCAGGCGAAAGACGGCGTGCCTCGCCGGGCTGTGGCGACGGGACTCTTCCGCGGACGTACGGAGCAGTTCCTTTGTCACCTGCGGTCCGCCTGAACCCTGCGCCGGATTATCGGCCCCTGTGTGCAGCCACGTCCTCCGAGGAAAGTGACGGTGTTAGCACTTCAGCCCCCCTGAACGTGGAAAGGTAAATGTTTTCGGAGCCAATAAAGGGCTGAGCACAAACGCACCCGCACCCCGCCTGGTTTTCTGTCTTCCTGCGCTTTCCGACTGTCCCGTTCCATTTTAAAATCCCGTTTGTTCCGTTTGTTGTAAATATCTTCTCCTCCTTAATTGGGTGCTGAGTCTAATAATCCTGCCTCGGCTTGTTAACTGTACAATAGCAGTCAGAGTTAATGACCCATTAGTGATTAATTCCTTAACCAGCATCTAATTGCTCACTGTAAAACCTTTTCTTAAAACTGGATTAAATCATCTAGATCCTTAACCACTTCTTTGCTCTGACTGCGCTAAGGCTCTTAGCGCGGCCATTTCTGCCGGAGCTCTTTCTCCTTTTGCTTCAATTCCATCAGCAGGACGGCGCTGCCAGCCCCTGCTGCCGACCCCTGCGGCTACCCAGAGCTCCGAGGAAAAGTCGCACCCATAAAACAGCTGTAAATGGAGCTATCGAAAGACGCAGCCCCTTGTGATGCTGCTGGGTTCAGGCAGGAGGGCGCAATGGGTGCTGGCCGTGCTTGGGGCACTGTGCTGGGATCCCGGCTGAGCTGTGCCCATTCCATCTATGGGGGGAGGGCAGGCACAGGACCTGGGGACCAAACCCACCTCTGCGTTTGTTTCGTCCCCAAAAATAAAGCCTTTTGGGCTATGCGGGAGCTCGTGTCACCTGCCTGCACGTGTGGGGGGACAGAACCAGAAGCTGGGGAGGATTAGAGTGGGGCTGCTGCCATCCTGACAGCACTGCTGGGCTTTCTGGTAGAACAAATATCGTGCCTTCTCTATTTTGCTAATGTGTGATGTGAATGTTGGCCGACACGTCAGCCCTTTGGCATACGAAGTTCCTGCCACACTAAGAACGGTGACATAAAGCCCTGAAATGTTTGGTCCTGTGTAGAAAAGAGGTTAAAATGATCAGGTCAGGGCAGTTAGGGGAGAGCAGTGATGGGCAGCAGGGATTTAGATGGCCTTAGGAGGAGGCAGAGCTGCAGCTCGGGCTGCTGGTATGGGAGGGAGCACAGGGAGCACAGAGGATGCAGCACGGCCTGCATGGTGGGCAGCCCCAGATCTTCGGGGCCTTGTGGTCCTGCAGCCACACAGCTGCCGTGGGCACACCTCTGCTTTTTCCCTCCCTGTCGCATCACCACCAGTGCCATCCTACAGGCAGTAGAAACTGAGCGCACCCTCAGCAGTTTGTGGATGACACCAAGGCTTTGGTGCTTTTGGCAGGCCCAAGGGTGACAGGATGCCATCCGGAGAGACCTGGACAGACTGAGCAGTGCCTGTGAGAGGTTCTACAAAGCCAAATGCAAGGAGTGCACCCGGGCTGTGGCAACCTGCACCCTCAGTACAAGCTGGGGGATGTAAGGATGGAGCACAGCCCTGCCGAAAAGGACGCGAGGCGCTGCTGGACGGCAGCTGGGTACGAGCCAGCAGTGTCACCTCACAGCCCAGAAAGCCAACCGTGTCCCGGGCTGCATCCGCAGCAGCGTGGCCGGCAGGGCGAGGGGGGGATGCGCCCCTCTGCTCTGAGCTGTGAGACCTCACCTGGAGTGCCGCGTCCAGATAGGGAGTGCTCAGCGCAGGAGAGACGTGGGCCTGACAGAGCGCATCCAGAGGAGGGCTGCAGAAGTGGTGCCAGGGATGGAACACCTCCCCTGTGAGGACAGGCTGAGAGCAGGGAGAAGAGAAGGCTCCAGGGAGACCTGAGAGCAGCCTGTGAGTGTCTAAAAGGGAGCTGCAGGAAAGAAGGGGGCAGACACTTCAGCAGGGTCTGTGGCGATAGAACAAGGGGAAATGGCTTCAAGCTTAAAGAGTGGAGATTTAGGTCGAAAAAGTCGTTCACATTGAGGGTGGTGAGGAACCTGAGTGCCCAGAAAGGTGGTGGTGCCCCATCCCAAGGTCATGCTGGATGGGGCACTGAGCACCTGATGGAGCTGTGGGTGCTCCTGTGCACTGCAGGCAGTGGGACCTGCTGGTCCCTTCCAATTGTTAGGAACCAATGATCCTAAATGGGGGAAGAGAACCCCATCCTCCAGGAGGGAAAAAAATGAAGGAGGAGGGCGGGAAGGACTAACCAGCTGGGAAAGGACTGGGAAAACAGACGGACTCCCCGCATCGCCCCGCGCCTCCCACCGCACCGCCCCGCACCGCCCCGGATCCGCGGTGCTGCGGCGCCCCCTGGAGGCCGCGTCGGGCACAGCGGGAGAGCAGCCGCGGCTCCTTCCATCGGCGCCATCCGCTGCAGCGCCGGGACGCCGCGCGGTGTCCGACCGGAGCGGGCGGCTGTAATTCGTTGTGAGACCCTTCCGTGAGCATTGCGGCTGTCACAGCCGCTCGAGGGAGAAAGGGCAGCGTCGGAAATGAAGTAGGGAGCGTGGTCTTTGCCGAAACATACAAGAATACGTGTATTTAGGTCTCTTACACAACGGAAATCTTGTTTACAGAAAGGGAACCTTGCTGATTATCTGATAACAATCAAATGGTTGTGAAACATAGTCTCTTATGGAAAGTGTTCCAATTCTTCGGGTTTAGAGACTTCCTTTCAGCTCGGAGTGCTCTCCTTCATATTCACAACTTGGAGCAGATTCTCCATCATCTGATAAAAAGAGAAAAAATGGCATTTACAGAGCAGGCCTGGCAGAAGTCACTCTCTAAGCTCATCAGCCTCATACACAGCTGCCTCGTGTGCTCACATGACAAACACAAAAAGACATCCTTTGTCTTGATCAGCTTAATGGCCAATCAGCAAAGTAAGAGGAAAGTCATTTCCCAGAGCATTCTGTCTGCCATCTTGGTTGATATAACGCCTCATTACTGCTAAAAAGCCGAAACACAGGAACAGTTTAGAGCTTATTGTCCGACTTACACCAAGGCCAGCTTGCAGGACAGATTTCCTTTCCGATCTTTAAACACTTCAACTGCAATTTATCCATGGAATAAAGAGCAGCAAAGTCTTCCTTCAGCCCACAGCTGCCTTAAGACAGAAGGATGGAACTCAGGCACTCCACCCGCCGCTGAATTCCCACAACTGTGATGCTCAGTTCTCTCCCATTTTGACTGTCTGTTTTGATACTCATCCCATTCGGTCTTTCCGAATTTTATTATTATTATTATTATTATTATTGTTGTTGTTGTTGTTGTTGTTGAGAACTGAATGGCACAGCATGAGCACTGATGGTGGATAATGCTCAGAACAAATCAGAGCTTGCACCCAAGGCTCTGAGCCGAGTTACTTGAAGGGCAGACCTGAATTTACTGCTGCAGCTTTTGACTTCAGGGTCAGTAACTTCCAATCTATGATTTTAAATTCAAAAACTGCACTGAAATTTGACAGGCTCCATGGAACTCCATGGAACAGAGCCCTTCCCAGCAGCACCTGCCTTCAGTGATGCTCGGTGGACAGATACAGCAGCTCCCCGTGCTCAGCACCACAGCACTGCTCCCTGCCTGCAGCTCCCTGGTCACTATTTGGTCCCAGGGCAGGTAACGCATCGCTGCACAGCACACAAATCACTCTTGCTCACACTTCAGTACCTCCACCCAAAGGGCATTTTCACAGCGAACCAATTCCGAACACGGGATCTGCTGCCTCTCACAGTCAGTTTCTTTTTCAAACACATTGTGGCTGGAAAAGCACAACGGCACCGAGGGCCAACTGCAAACATCCCGTAGCCACTGCCCCATCACCATTTGCTCAGCCACCTGATGCCCAGCCACCGTCCCCATACACAGGCAACTCCACTGAGCACGAACAGGAAGCGTGTGGGCCAAGTGCAAGATGGAAGCCCTCATACCCAGAGGGTATACAAAATATGTGCCTTTAGGTATCAACACTACATCCACAGAACACAAATCCAGAGGTCGTGTCAGCTCTCATGTCGCCGTGTACACGTGTGGCTGAATTTCCTATGCAACAGAATTTGCCCCTGCAAACAAACACTGCCTCGTCAGGAAAGAAAAATAACAGCAATCGTTACTTAAACATCTGGGAAAGGATCACAAGTTCACCAAGCCTGGAAAAGACGTCTGAGACCATCCAGTCCAACACCCACCTCCTGCCAGCATTTCCCACTACAACACATCCCCCAGGACAGCATCTGAGCGCACAGCCCTCCTGCATCAAAGCACGTCGCTTTTGGTCTTCAGAACTCCTGCACCCGGAAGGCAGACCTCAGCAGAAGATCTGGGTTGGGTTGTTGGATGCTGGGGCTTTGCTTTTGGAGCCTGGTGGAAGAACAGTGCATTCTGTCCTCTCCAGGCTGCATGCAATCGGGTGTTTGTGTCCAGCAAGAGGAGAGCAGGGGGTAGGCGCCCCTTTCATGGTGCAGGGGAGAGACAAAGCAACTTTGCATGCTGGAAATGAAAGGTTCTGTGGCAAAACGAGGCTCTGCTGATGTCACGTATCACGGTTGCATAGGAGACGTGATTTATTTTGCCATTCGTTTGATAATTCTGGAGATTTAAGGCAATGTTATTCCACGTATTTGTTATTACCCCATTATTTATTCCATAAATACGTTCAATGTCTGACCCCCCCGCCCCCAGGGGGGGGGGGGGGGGGGGGGGGGGGGGGGGGGGGGGG